CCAGAGTAATAGGGGTCTCAGTCTCCTGACGACGTTTGTGTGAAGTCTCACCAACCACCCCCTTTTGGAGCAACACTTCAGCATCTCTCGTCTTTTCGCCGACCACTCCCACGCCGACATCCTTGGAAGCCTCTTGCAACTTCCAAAGTTTTCTCAGCTCCCGATTATTCATGCTGGCCATATTCGCTGCATCAACACACAATAAGCATTAGTCAAAAACACATGAAATTACAGGGAGAAAACAATTCACGAGGTGATAGGCGAGGGACCGATTACCTATATAGATTTTCAATTCATTAGGCCTATTTTCTAAGTCTAAGAGTTTGGCAGTGTTGAAAATTGTTTTCAGATCCTCAAGTTTCCTAACATCGGCTCGGTCGTCCTCCGACATCGTCTTGGCATTTAGCCCTCCGAAAGACTCAGGTTTCTCGTTCCAATATAACGGGTATCCCTCGAGTAGGCTCTCATTCCCCAACGTACACCGAAGCCGAAAATACGATTTTTTGAAATCCTTATACGATGATTGGAATAATGACAGTATTCCCCGACCTGTAACACCACTAACCGACACCCAACTGCTACGTTTCGTCACCCGACCCTCAAAGAAGTAAAAAAATTTATCAGAAGTCGGTCTTATGCCGAGTCCCTCACATAAAATCTCGAACCCTCGGACAAAAGCCCAACTATTGGGATGAAATTGGGTGGCGGCTACGTTCAACGAATTGAGCACTCCTTTCTCACACTCGGTCAAGGGCCACCTCACTTTGATCTTTGAGATGAGGGTTGTATAACAAAAAGTAAAACGCTCAACTGACGAGGACCTAAGGCACACAGGCTCTCTATCTACACAGGGTTCACAAACAACCATTCCATCACCCTCACGGCACACTACGTGCTCTCTACAAAAGTTGTCCATGGCGGCCCATGAGTTCATTAAAGACTCACTTTTTAAAACATTGTCCCTAACCCATTTGTATGAATCCACATAATGAACGACAACCATTTGATTAAATAAGCCTAATTCAACCTACAACTCGAGGGTGTGCAAATAAAAACTACTAGAGGATTAGAATAGATACGCGTACCTAAGGGCTCACACTCCAACTTCACCCACCCCAAACATAGTTCAGAACCACCGCGAACCACCGTGAATTATGACGGAGAGGGCAACCACCAGAGAAAAGAAGCGCGAAAGAAAGTGTAAGAAAGAAATGTGAAGTTAGGAAAGCAGCCCATATTTATAGGCATGCGGGGCCGCGCGTGGGGAGTCAAAACCCAAGGGTCGGTACGCGCGTGGGAGCTACAACCCCTGGCCGTGGGGGGCCCCACCCTTCCAGCTTTATCAAATGACGCTGCCACGTGGCAGCATCATCATTAATTACCCTGCAAAACGCTACGGTGCAATAAATGTGTGTCTCTTCGTGGGTAAGTGGAAAAGACACCCCATACCAGAGCCCGAGGAGCCACGAATTGAGATAAAGAGTTTATGAACCCTCTTGGCCCGAGAATCCGACATTAGATCTCTACATTGAATGGATCGGTCAATAATAAGCCTTCTCGCCTTACACGCTCAAGGCTGGAAGGCTAGTGTACGGTCTAGGTCGGATTCCGACCATGGGGTTAACGAGGGACAGGTCGGCAATGGCTAAGCCGACCCTCTATCTAGCAAAGCCTTCTCGCCTTACACGCTCAAGCCTGGAGGGCTAGTGTACGGTCCAGGTCGGATTCCGACCATGGGGTTAACGAGGGACAGGTCGGCAATGGCTAAGCCGACCCTCTATCTATCAAAGCTTTCTCGCCTTACACGCTCAAGGCTGGAGGGCTAGTGTACGGTCCAGGTCAGATTCCGACCAGGGGTCGACGAGGGGCTGGTCGGTCATAGCTAAGTCGACCCTTGGCTAGAAAAGCCCTCCCGCCGACCATCCCTCTAAAAGGAATTCGGTTATTGATCGAATTCCTAGTCTCTCTACTTAACCTGGTCGGTCTATTTCCGATCTCTTTTGCTTATGAGAACCAACTCGACCAATGCTCGACTGTGCCTTCAGCACGAGTATGGTCGGTCGGGGGACGACACAACCTTCGTACATGGGGAATATCCGTTAGCAAAAGGGAGGATCCCACTAACCTCACCAAATATCTTCCAGATCGTGACGGTTAAGGAAATCCCTGCATTCCCGGGGCCCGTAAGGCCCATGAACAAGAAACTATAAGACTCAAAACCCTAGAGTTTGAGACGACAGATTACACTTTTGAATGCTCTGGCTTTGAGGCTTGACCTAGGAAAAACTCCTAGTCCACCTTTTGGTCGGAACAGATACATATTCTACATTGGTTCTGCGAAGTCATCTACATCTGTTCTAAAATCGATGTAGAATAGAGCGACTTAGAAAATCTATACCCTTTTACATCGATTTTAGAACCGATGTAGATTATACATAAATTTACATTGGTTCTTAGGAAAACCGATGTAGATTTGTGTATACCTTTATATCGGTTCTCAGGAAAACCAATGTAGATTTATTCATAAATCTACATCGATTCTCAAGAAAATCGATGTAGATTAGATTTTTAAAAAAAAAAAATCATGCTTGTTTTTAGATTCTTTCTAATTACTTGTAATAAACATATATATAAATATTAGACAGATTTTTCATATATAAATATAATGGACAAATATTGTGCATCAAGATTAACTTGGCTACCAAATTACATTAACAAAAATCACACAAACAAATTATAATGTATATGCTTATGTATAAATTTTAATGAAGCAAATAAATATTGATGACACCTAGCAACAACATAAATAAAATTATCTGTTTTTCAGTAAATGATGAGACATCTCAAAAAGTCATGAGAAAAATTATAAAAAATTAAATGTCAAATTATTATAAATAAATAAAATTATTTGTTTTTCATTATTTTCTAAATTAAATTATAATCAATGTCTCTTAATTAAAAAGTAATAATCAATAATAACTATTAATTATTACATTTCATTATGACATAATTGTCTAAATTAATTGTTGTTAATTAAATATTTATTACAAACTTTAATTTTAAAATAATTATTAAATTTTAAAATATCAATTACTTAAAAAAAATTTAATACAATTATTATGTTTCATTACGACTTAATTGTCTAATATATTTTTTGTTAATTAAATATTTATTACAAACTTTAATTTCTTTTTTTATCATCCACCTTAATGTATGATACATATACTGATATATATCATTAAATTAATTTAAATTAGTTGCTATTTTTGTTGTCAAAGAAAAATAAATTTGAATTTAATAATTAATACAACACCTTAATCATTGGATAAATAAATAATAACTATTTATTTTAATTGTACATTATTATAATATTAGTACAAAAATCAGTATTGCATCATTTAGCGAATCAACACATGTTAAGAAAGCAACCCCAGTTTCAACACCTCAAGGATTGGATGTTTACGCCTCAGACATTTACCCAGGAGATAGCTGAAAAAAACAGGTGCAAAATATGCACTCATCTGAAAAAGCATTCGTTAAATAGTTACCATTCCCTGAAGGAAAGTAATGCCAAAAAATAGTGTATGTAATTATGTATCCAAATATAGTTCATTATGCCTTAGCCCATCAATTGGCACGACTACCTAATCCATTACCTCCATTTGTTATTTCCCAGGCAACTATTTGTTTTTTTGAACTAAAGATCATATTCAACTACACAAACCAAAAATTATTATCATTTATTCAATATAACCCACACAAGACAACAACAAAGTCACTAAGTCATTAAATTGGCCTTGTAAAATATTTAGAAATTTTATTTGATTCAAACTGGCATATAGGCTAATAAGTATATCAGGTATTCTGCATACTAGGAATCTCACGCTTAGAATGGAGAATTTCATGCTTAATACAAACACGTGAAAACCCAAATTTGGGATTTTATGGAAACCCCTCACAATCTCTCAAGTCAATTCAATTATCTTAGATTTTGCATATGTTCTAATAAATCACATTCTCAAGTCTATAATCATTGATATTGTATTATTCAAGAAATCAATCCATTATCTCCAATCATAAATACATATGATACAATTCATCCAAATACATAAGAATCCTAAACACCCAAAACATAGGATAGTCTCACTTAAACAATACCAACAATCAATCAATTAATCAATACAAATAAATAAACGTGCTTCATGGTGTTTACAACCCATCCATAAGACATACAATTAAAAACCTATGAGGTTGAGGGACAAGCCCTACTACCCATAATTTGATTCGCTCTCATGAATGAGATAATTGGCTTCCTTTACCTGGAAAATACTCTTACAAAGGCAAGGGTTTGCACTATAAGAATTTCGTTAAACATTTTTGATGGCACGAAGACAACCATAAACAAGTGAGTATTAAAGAAATACCAAATCTAAAACCTTAATAGCTCTTAAGGAGATAATTAGGCTCATGGAGAGAAAACCTCAATTCTCTTTTACAAACACTTATTAACTTCTAAGACATAATTTTCAGTCCCCTAATTTTTTAAAATACTTTATTATTTAATTAAAAGTCTCAAATAACATATTTAATAAATAATAATACATAAATATTATTCATAGAAAAAACTTGGGGTGTTTCAAATTATAAAAGAGTGGACTTTATAAAGGACCTGTATTGTCTTTAGCAAAAGGCTCTCTCTCCAACTCTTTCTAACCCACCCATCTTTTTTCTCTATTTTCTCTTTAATTCTCCATTATTATTTTTTTTTTACGTGTTTCTTCTTTTAATTTTGTTTATTGGATAGGTCAGAGACGCACAACGGATCTAATTTCGAGTTCAAATGAAATTAAAGTAGCTCAACACTTTTACACCTTAAAGATACAATTTGCACAATCAAAATTTTACAAAACAACCAAATCATATTTGCAAAAATTCTTCCAATTCCTTTTATATCAAACTCATCATAACATAGGAACTAGAATCCAAGGAAAATGCAACATCTATTCTTCTTCATTCCTGGTGAGAGGAATTGAAAACTTTCTCCGACACAAGGAAGGAATAGTTGGACTTATATGAAGACGAAGAGGAACCCTCATTCTCTCTCCATCACCCCATAATGCATATGCTTCTTCCCCGTGAGCAGCATCATCACCAACCTCAAGATCCTCTTCTTGCATCCTAAGATCCACGATACGACTTATAAGAATACAAATGAGGCTAGTAACAAGGACATTCCAAACAACAACAAAACCTGCTCCTAGTAATTGGAACCCTATTTGCCTAAAGCCAAGACCCAATTTCGCATCAAAAAAGCTGTAGAATAAGCCAGGGTAATAAGGCAACTCGGGATACATTAGTCTTAGAAGCTTAGGTTTGGCAAAGACTCCAGAAAGGAGTCCCCCAAGAAGACCAGCCACAGCATGAGTGTGAAAAACTCCTAGTGTATCATCCACGCTTTGAAAGAATGCTGATTTTTTATGTAACACCATCATAGTATACCATGGAATGGAACCAGACAAAGCTCCCATCAATACTGCTGCCCATGAATCCACCAATCCTTTTCACATGCACAAACAAAAGGTTAAAATCCCAATCTAACACTAAATAAATAAAATAAGATATCCAAAGGTATTTTAGCCTACGTATACGTTAACATTTGTTCACTTTTAACCACTCTTTAATTTTATTTTTATTTTTGAAAGGGTGACTAAGATATCCCCTAATTCATTAGATCATATTATCACTAATACAGAATGTACATTTTACGTATGTTATTTTAGGGGTTTTAAGTCGGAAAAACCTCCGACGTTGATACGGGAGACGTAAATTTACGTCGGCGGTGACTAGGATATCCCCTAATTCATTAGATCATATTATCACTAGTACAGAATGTACATTTTACGTATGTTATTTTAGGGGTTTTAAGTCGGAAAAACCTCCGACGTTGATGCGGGAGACGTAAATTTACGTCGGTTGTGATGGCCGACGTAAATTTACGTCGGACATGGCAAGAATCGACGTAAAATTGTGATGGCACAAATTTAATGCATCTGGAACGGGCCGTTCTGCAACCAGAATGACCCGTTCTACTCTCAGTCATTGTGTGTTAATTATCCATCTGGAACGTCCCGTTCTAGTTGTAGAACAGCCCGTTCTAGATGGACAATTAACACACAATGACTGCAAGCAGAACGGGCCGTTCAGGTTGTAAAATGGCCCGTTCTAGATGCAGAAGAAACGAGAGGGCGCAGAAGATTTAAAATAATAATATTCGGAAAAAAAAAATGAAGAAAAGAACAAGTAGTAGTGAAGATGGAAAGTAGCTAGACAGGGAAAAGGAAATGAAAAATACATAAAAAAAGGGAACTTGCAATTAAGTGTACATGGGAAAAGGAATTTGACCGTTCTCACAAACGTAAGCCCGAACGACAGGCTCACCATCGTTGTGGAAGCCAAAGTCGCGTCGCAAGCAAAACGCGGAGTGGAGATCCCAGGTGAACTTGCAAGCACAAAATGCGCAAGGCAAATCAAGCTTCCTCTTGTTGCCATCGTGAATGGTTCTCCAAACCCAGTACTTGCACTTCTCCTTGTGGACGCAGCCAGAACTACTGCGCGAGGAGCTGGCTCCCCTGCTCGCGGCTCAGGCTCCAAGTCCCCGATGCCAGGTGCGACCTCCATGCGCGGGACACCCTCCACCTCTTGCACCTTTGCCTGCAATGTTGGTGTGTAAATAGAAACCTTTTTTACGTCGGATATAATAGAAGTCCGACATAAAATGTAAAATTTACGTCGGACATAAGATACATCTGACGTAGATTTTACATTTTACGTCGGACCCTATCAAGTCCGACGTAAAAAAGTTTACAAAAATTAAAAAAATGTCACCGCATCTTTTTTATGTCGATTTTTGTTTTGACCAACGAGAAAACAGTGATGTAAAAGACTAATTTTCTACTAGTGTATATATCCATTCATGACACTATATATAACTTAGGGACAGATGTAGAGGGGCAGGTAAGGGCCTTGGCCCCTTCACTTGAAAATTCCATTTTTTATAGTGAATATAAAATACATTTAATATAAAATTGTTATAAAAATATATTTAATTAAAAATAAATTGTGAAAAACTTTCATTAAGACATAATGAATACAATATTGTGAAATTCTAATAGTTTTTTATTATTATTTGTAAGCTTTAACTAGTGTACTACATTATTTGAAGTCAAATATTTAAATAATTATAAAATTAGAAGGTGTTCCTACAGTAAGTCCGCTGTCATCGTTAGGGTCACCGCATCCGAGGTATTGTCCGCTTTGGCACTCGTTAGGCCGTCACGATTTTGTCCTTTAAAAAGCGCCTCGGTGGGTTAAGGAGGAATGATGTTTATAAACTACCCTTAACATCGACTCTTAAGCGATGTGGGACTTTTAGGCATACCGGAACAGAAGAAAAAAAAATTTGGCCCCTCATTATGAAGTGTTTAGATCTTTTCTAGATTATCATTGATCCGACAAATTTTCGCACAGGATCAAATTCTGTGTTTATAACGTGTAAGCATATGATACGTAACTTCTACCACAAGCCATGACATTATTGGTTTGATTAGGATTTAGGAGTGGTATGTGTACATGCGAGGTTTAATTTATTACCTGCGCCTGGTGTGATGCAAACGAGGCCAGTGATCATTCCTTGGACGGCACCTATGACTGAGCTCTTGGTATACACAATCATGTCAAGTGTAAGCCAAACAAGTAAGCTTGTGGCAGTGCATAAATGGGTATTGAAGATGGCCAACGATGCAATTTCTCCCACTTGGAATGGAGCTCCACCGTTAAACCCTGTCCAACCCATCCACAAAAACCCTGCACCTCCAAGCATGTGAATTATGTTATTTGGTGGAAAGTTTTGTCGGTCATGTGAAATTCTTGGACCAACCTGCCACCCATTCATCCACATTTATTAGTTACATGTTTCATGCATGAGGACTCTGCAAACAAACCATTTCTCTCTAACAATTGGTTAAAAGTGAATTTATAAGCCATTTGTAGATAGGAACTTTTATTTAAAATATAGTTTTCGCAAGTAACATTTTTAATTAATTTGTTTGCATAAACTACTTTTAAATGTTTAACTAATTGTATATATAATGAAATATCATGAAAATAATATAAAACTGAATTATATATGTGCCAATCAAAAGCAAAAGATTATTGGATAACAAAATCATAATTTTAATGCAAAAAGATTTCTAAATAGGAGAGGAAGGGTTTTTTCATCTTTCAAGATGGAACTCAACTAAAAATGAGTCTCATTGGCACTAGAGAAGTCAACGAGGGAGGATCACTGACTCGCAAGATCACTCTCCCTCCCTATTGTATGCTCATATTATAATTCTTTTATGGTCCTTATTACAGACATATGTCATCCAATCCAATCATATATTGTTTTGTATGACAATTTAATTAATTTTTATAATAAATAATAATATAAAAACTCTATTTTAATTAATTAATAGTATAAAAAACTTACACCAACAATAAACTCTAGTATATTAGGTAAAAGTATCATCTTATAAGAGTGTATGCATATACTCATAATTTTGAAACATTATTTGATAGATCTTCCTATAAAACACTAATTAAGAAATCAAAATATATATATATATATATATATATTAATTATTAAAAATCACATTGAAAATGTATTGATAATCTAAAAAGTATAATGTTACACTTACAATAAAAAATAAAAAATTATACAATAACCTTATAATATAATTTTAACTTTTATGTCTATCTCTCCATTAATTTATCTCTATAAAAATGATGTTATATAAATTTTTTTTTTTTGAAAATCTAACATTTCGAATCAAGTGTTAGAATTTGAATGTACCCAATAAGCTGCTGTGAAACCTGCAACGCCGGAAGACAAATGAATGACAAATCCACCAGCATAATCAATAATTTTTCCCTGAAGGAAGCCATGTTCATCCCATATACTGAAGGCACCAACAGTGTAAGACAGCGTAAGCCAGAAAGGCACAAAAACCATCCACGCATAGAAATTCATCCTCCCGAGCAAAGACCCTGCGAGCAACACAACAGTGATTGCCGCAAAAGCAAACTGATAGAACACAAAGTCAGCCATCGGGAAATACCCAATCGTTGACTTCGCAAGGAGAAACTTCCCCGCCAGAGCGTGGTTGGGCTTTCCCACCAACGGCAAAAGCTTCGCACCGAACGCCATGCGGTGGGCCCACAAAACCCAACAGATCAGCACGCAGGCAAATGCGTACAGGGCCATGAAGGCCGAGTTCACCGCCCATTTTCTCTTTACCATGCTGCCGTACAGAATCACAAGCCCAGGAACACTCTGTAGGCCCACTAAGGTTGCCGCACTCAGTTGCCACGCATTGTCTGCTTTGTTGTTCCACCCAGGCGATGCGTCACTTGGCAAAAGCCACCATGGTAAAACGAAACCATTAAAATTTGAAGTTGAACTTGAATTCATAGTTGTTTTTTAACAAAATTCTGTTTTGTGGGGTAAACTTCTGAATTTAAAAGGTTATAATTTTTGGACATTTTTTAAGGAATCTTTGAAATAATCGCTGAGTCGGTTTCTTGTTGCGGTGATTCGACATTCTTTGCTGTCAACGCAATTAGGTTCATTTGAAAATTCTCACGTAAAGGGGCTAAACCTGAGAATCTTGAGCCTCTTGAAGGAAGTTCACGTTGTCGAATTTTTTATTTTGTAATTTGCAATTGAAACAGAACACATAACATAGAGAATTCATTTGTGACGTAATGGGCTGCCTTAGTTCTAATCGCTTTCGTATAAAATGTTTTCGTTTCAACTCTTTGTGTTTGAATTTTAACTAATTTTTAAGACAACAAGTAAATAATTGATGATAGACAAAATCATGTTGTTGTTACATATTACGTACTTAAAGCATGAAAATATCTATATTAAATTATTGGAATGTTGTATTCGAATGTTTGTGGCTGGTAAGAATCAGAACACTATGATATATAGAAGTGGTTTATTAGTTTTTTTCGACAGTAAATGGCATATCAGTTTATTAACACTGAAGTCTTAACAGGATTAAAAAGCACTAAAACCTACAATTATATTTGGGAAAAAATTTATACACTGTTTCTCAGTTGTTTTAGGTATTATTCAGTAATTAGAATCAAAGTTTTATTTCAATAATTTATGTAATAAAATTTGCATTAAAGGCTGTAATAGGTTATGTAATGAGATAAAATCTTTAATTCTAATTAGTTAATATCTAAAATTAATAATAAAGAATTGTATATAATATTTGAGTATAAGAGAAATTAAAATCAACTACTTTTTTTTTTCTATCTCTCTCACATATGTACCCACACACACATAAGGTTGAAAACTAAATTTCTTAAAAATATAGATTTTATATGAGACTCATTTCTCTCAATAAAATCTTTTTGAAATCACATTTTTATTGACATATTTAAGAAATTTAACAATTTAAAATGTTAGAAGTTGTTGGTAATTCACTTCTTTGTTTTCATCTAACCATTCTAATAATGTTTAATGTGGTTTTACTACAACAAAATTCATTTTTACCGGCAATAAATTAATTGCCTATGTTTTATTATTTAATAAAAGTATTAGTGACTAATATATAATGGTCACTAAAAATATATTTATATCACACCAAAATTTATTATTAGCGACAATTATTTTAAGAAAAACTTTAGTCCCACATCGACTAGAAATAAGATAACTAAAGAGTATATAAATAAATAATAACTCTCACCTTACAAGTTTGTTATATAGGATTGTGTTAGACCTATAACTTATTATTCTAAATTAGTATGAGATTAATATATAATTAGAAGACAACTTTCATCTTAAAGTTATATATATATATATATATAATTAGAAGACAACCTTCATCTTAAAGTCCCACATCAACTAGAAATAAAGTAATTAAAAAGAATATATAAGTAGAAAGATAACTCTCATCTTACAAGTCTCACATCAACTAGAGATAAAGTAATTATTTATTTTTACTCATCTTATAAGTCCCACATCGACTAGAAAGTAAAAAAAATGTTATAAAAAGATATACACTTTTTTCGACCATTATAAGGGTTTTTACCAGCATTTTGAATAATTGCCGCTAAAGATTTTAGCGACACTGCATACAATGGCTAATGTGAAAATGTCGGGAAAAGATTTTGTAACAATTTTTATTGCCACTAAAACTCATATTAAATGCCACTAAAAGTCTATTTTATTGTAGTGTTTTCTGCAGAAAGATTAGTAAAATTCATGAGATTTATTACAAGATATTAAGAGATTAATAATGAAAGTTTTTCATTGTTAACTCTAATTAATAAATGGATTAGTGATAAATTAATTATGAACAAGTTATACTAATTAGCTATGAAATTATTTGTTGTTAATCTTTAATTTTTAACAAAACTTTGTCTCTTAACATTTTAAAATTAGAGAAATTTATTTTGTAACTAACCGATAGCTAATCGGTGAAATTTTAGCCACAGTTAACTACAGAAGATATTGATAATTATATTTGGTAGTTAATTTTTGGAAGTATTAGATATAAGTCTAAATTAAGAGATCAGAAAATAATCACAGCAAAAATTGGTAGCTATAATTTACAAATTTTTTGAAGTATTAGAAACAAGTCTAAAGAGATATATAGAAGTCAATGCATTCTCTCCTTAAATTTATACATGTGCCTTTTTTATTATTAACTTCCATATTATAAATTAAGTCTTTTCTTAATATTAAAAAAAATTATATTTTTTTATTTAATTATGTTATTAAGGTGAAGTGGTTACTGATATTTTATCAATGATTAAATTTCACTAAAGATTTGACTAATCAGTTTTACAGGAGTATATTCTCTTTATTTAATTCATGTTTCAAAATTCAAATTCGAAACTTATTCAAGGAAATTAAATCCAATTTCCTTCAAACAATATTTTGTTAGATTTTTTCTTGTAATATATGATTTAATGGTTATTTTTATGTCTTTCTAATTCTTAAATTACAAAATATTTTAAAAAATATATGGGAAGACACTTAGTTTTTTATATTGAACTTTTCAATCTCAAATATTACTTACTTACAAACAACAATTTTTTTATTATTGGACAACACAGTTACAAATCATTATATATTCACTACTACAAGATGCATATTCTACATCGGTTCTCTGGAGAACCGATGTAGATCCCTTTGGAGAACCGATGTAGATCCCTTTGGAGAACCGATGTAGATCCCTTTGGAGAACCGATGTAGATCCCTTTGGAGAACCGATGTAGATCCCTTTGGAGAACCGATGTAGATTTATGCTTAAATCTACATCGGTTCTCTTGAGAACCGATGTAAAAATATATATATTTTTACATCGGTTCTCAAGAGAACCGATGTAGATTGCAATTTTTTTTTTAAAAAAAAAACATGCTTATTTTTTTTGATTATTTATGATTACTTATGGAGCACGACCATTCCGCAAGAAAAGTTACCTGCTAAATTTTTCTACCATTTAGTAAACATTACATGCGAATTTATTTTTGCAAGAAAATATGCAAGAAACAAAATAAAATTCTTACAATATTTTCTGCAAATTTTTACCATGGAAAATAATTTCTATGATTATTAAAATTGTAGCAAAATTTGTAAGAAATATCTGTAAATTATTTTTCGCAAATAAATTATGGGAACACTCAAAAAGGCGGCACTCGATTGGTTTAGTGGTCTCCCTGACTGATCTATCACCGACTTCGATGTCTTCAGTCGGCTCTTCATGGCACAATTTGCCGCTAACAAGAAGAAGCCGCCGATCACGTCGGACTTGTTCGATCTCAAGCAGTAGCGGGAGGAACCGCTGAAGGACTTTCTGCAAAGGTTCAATGAGGTCGCCTTGAGGATAGCATCTTTGGATGAAAGGATGGCTGTCATTGCATTCCAGAAGGGCTTGAGGTCTAGAGCTTTCGACATCGCGCTGGAAAGAGAAAATTGCCAGACGATGTCGGAGGTGAGAGCCTTCGCGCTGAGTCACATTAAGACGGAGGAAGGGCAGATCAACAAAAGAGCAGCGGAGAGCCGAGAAGCAGGGGGCAGCAATAAGGAGGGAAATAAGCATCTCCGACCGCGGTCGGATTGGAGTAAGCAACGCGACCGTTACAACATGAAGGAGGGAAATTACCGGCAGACCGATCATGGTGGTCGGGCAAGGGGCGAGTGGATGCGCAACAATGACGAAGAGAAGTTTACTCCACTCAATGTCCCTAGGAGGCAGATACTTGACGATGTCAACAGCGCGTCGCTATTCGAGTTCCCAGCGGCGACGGAGCGCCAGTTGGGTCCCTTCAAGACCGACTGGTGCGAGTTTCATAGGACTCATGGGCATTCCACAGAAAATTGTTTCGTCCTTGGAAGACAGATCGAGCGTTTGATCAAGGAGGGGCGTCTGAAAAAGTTTGTGGCAAGAAAATAGGAAGAAGGTTCGTCGGATAGGCGACACGGGCGCACACGGGACGACACCAGGAGGGATAGGCATAGAGAGAGAACTCCCCCCAAGGACACTCCAGCAGGGTCATCGGAGGTCCATCAGCAAGCAATTCATGGGGATTTCAACACAGTGGCAAGAGGATTTGCAGGAGGAGGAGTCACCTCGGCTGCTCGGAAAAGGTACACCCGCTCCGTCATGTCCGTATCAGAAATCTGTCGACCACCGCAACCCACGATTTCCTTCCCGGACGCCGACTATTAAGGGGTAGCTCCTCACGAGGATGACCCTATCGTCATCTCGACGATAGTGATGGGCTATAATGTGAAGCGCGTCCTGGTCGACCAGGGGAGCTCGGCCGACATCCTCTTTTGGGAAGCTTTCGTGGGAATGAAGATCCCCAACAACCGACTAGTACCCTACACGGGAACCCTAGTAGGTTTTGCGGGAGACCAGGTTATGGCTAGAGGGTACGCCGATTTGGAAACAACCTTCGGGCAGGGCTCGTAGATGAAAACGGTAACTATCTAATATTTAGTGGTGAGTGCTCAGTCGTCCTACAATATACTTATCGGCCGACCTACACTGAACAAACTGGGAGCCATAGTGTCAACATCACATCTGAAGGTGAAATACCCATTGCCGAATAGGGATGTCGGGGTCCTCAAAGTAGATCAAGAGGTCGCCCGAAAGTGTTACGAGGATAGTCTGAAGGCAAGAAGGCGATTATATACCGCTCCGGCTGAGAAGCACATCCATTCCGTCGAACTGAACCCTTGAATGGGTCAGTTCGATCACTGACCCGCCCCTGCGGAAGATGTCAAGGAAGTGGAGGTAATGGAAGGGAGAAACGTAAAGATAGGTACCTCTTTAACTCCCGAGGAAGAAGAGAGGTTGGTAAGGGTTCTAAAAGATAATGTGTCGGCATTTGCGTGGCATTCCAGCGACATGCCTGGCATTGATCCAGATTTCTTGTGCCACAAAC